CATTCTAGCTGACGGACCCCATAACCGCAAATATTTGGAATACGTTTTTATAAACAAAAATAAAAATGTAATTAGTTTTTCAAATTTTTTTTAAATTTAAGAGACGATCATAAATATTCATGAGGTTAACATTGAATATTTAGGAAAATCATGGAGGACCCCAAGTGACACAATTCAATATCTACTGAACGAAATTGAGTAAATGATGTTGTTGATTTTTTCTATGAAATTTAATATTGAAACTACTCCAAACTGGGATCAATCTATGTATTATATACTCCAAATAACAGGGGATTATGAATTTAACCGTTTCTTTGAATTTTATTTTCATATATATGGTAGCTTGGGAGAGTAGCAATTCTCCCAGAAATGAAGTTATTTGAAAAAGTTTGATAAGATTCGGCAGCGGCATTCTTGAGAATTTTCCATCTGAGTAAGATTCTATCTACTTCCATAAGTGCGGTACTTGCCGTATCAAAGATTTGGTTGATTCTATTTCTATTGAAAACTAATGCATTTGATAAATTTTTCTGTATAAAATCCTTTTTGTGTTCACAAATTGTTTTCTTTTTAATTTCCGCAAGTTTCTTCAGTGTATTGTGACGAGCACTTGTGACAATTTATTTTATATATACCTGCTTCGGAATTATTATCATTATTATTATTGTAGTAGTTTTGAATCTGATTATATCTATACTAGCTAAAATCGGATAAACTGTTTTAGATAGTAGATACAAAAGAGTTAGTATGTAGTATTATTGTTAATAATGGTATTATCCTTTTTTGTGGTGATATATTTTCGATAAGGATAGGTTTCAACAACATCATTTCCACATTGCGATGAGTCACTTGGCGTTCTCTACGATTTAATTCAGACTTTTTTGCTCAACTGATGAATATTTATGAGCGTCTCTTAAATTTAAAAATACAATCTCTTAAATATAAAAATAAAATCTATACATTTCTTTTGTTGAGGCCCATTATATATATATATATATATATATATATATATATATATATGTTATGAAAAACTTGGTAATCCGTATGGTAGTCCCAAGGAGGATGAAATCCTGAGAGCTCAATGTAAATCCAGAGCTAATAATGTAAAAGAAAAAACGGACCCTTTAAGGTTCCATTGTAATAATTTATTTCACCAGAGCCCTTTTAAAGGACGCTGGATCATTAGACAATACTTTAAAATGCTCTGGTGAAATAAATTATTACAATGGAAACTTAAAGTGGTCTGTTTTTTCTTTAAATTATATATATATATATATATATATATATATATATATATATATATATATAATGAAATGGATTACATTTGATGATTATTAAATATATTTTTTCTTTATACGTTATTTTTATAGATATAATTTATTTAAGTAAATGGTCTGTTTTTTTAATTAAACGGTATTAATTACATTTATCAGCCTGAATGTTTAAGAAATTTTGTAGAAAATATGCGCTATATATAATTTGGCACACTCAAATCACCGTACTGATAGCAAATATGGCGCCAGTTTGTTTACATTGCGCAGATCAGGTCGAAAATTTCAGTGATTGCGCAGGTCGGTGTTGCCAACATTGTGTGAAAAAATTTTGTGAATTGATTGGATGGTTTCTGAAATATTATAAAAAAAATTATCTCGTTAATAATTCGGCACGCAGCGTATATGATGAAATATACGAATAAATGCGAGATTGGACCGCAATTATCCAACGAAATCAGCCGTTACTATAGTAACTCTATAGTAATTTAAACGCCGACGGCTCAATATCTGTATTATATAGATCTATATCTAGGTGATACCACGCTTCATGTTTAACTAATTTACATATTGATTCTAAAAAAAAAATATTTCATTAATTTATTGTCCTTCATTAGTGTTCTTTTATTCAAGGATTGTTTTGATTTTCATATCAAAAATAATTCTGTTTAGGAATATTGTCTTATATAGTGCAGAAAAGTGTTTGAAATTTGCATTTTACTTGGCCTTCAACAAGATGGCATCTATTTGTAAAACTTTCCTTAACTATAACAAACCAATTTATGAATGAAATGTTCTTTTAATGTTTTTTGCTTCAAAGTTTTCAAGTAGTGAATATATCTTACTTTGCGAGGCGATAGCGAGCGGTCGATGCTTGCTAGTATATATATATATATATATATATATATATATGTGTGTGTGTGTGTGTGTGTGTGTGTGTGTGATAGTAAAAACATCATCTGACAATTTTTTTTCTTCATTTTTTATTTATCGTAACCGACTAATATGCAATAAATATTATTAGTACTATTACCAATAGTATTATTTTTATCGACTTACTATATATATATATATATATATATATATATATATATATATATATATATAGTAAGGTAAAAAAAATCAATTGGTATATAATCCAAGATCTAGAAATATAAAAATATTTGAACTGATTCACAAAAAAATCGATGTATTTCATTTCATTTATACAAAGCAATATAATTTATATA